ACGGTATAGATTAGGACGCTTGAAATTTCCTATCTAAAACTACCGTAGAATTTCTACAACGCTAAACGTAACATCGTGCAGAATTTCTGCAACACTTGACGTTACATCGTGCAGAATTTCTGCAGCACTTGACGTTACATAGTGCAGAATTTCTGGAGCACTTAACTGCGCTACATCGTGCAGAATTTCTGCAGCACTTGACGTTACATCGTGTAGAATTTCAGTAGCGCTTGACCTTACATCGCGCAGAATTTCTGCAGCACTTGATGTTATCCAATGCAGAATTTTAAATAAATCAGGTTACCAGATTTTTTTAAATATTGTGTTAAAACTATAGTCTTTATTGTTCACGTATTAAACGTGCAGAGAATTTTGGGCATTTTGACCACCTTTAACAAACCATGCAGTGAAAAATGGAATATTTAAGTGTTTGGGTAAAATTTTTTCACTTTTAACTGTCCGTTGAATTAAACAAAGTTTTGCTCTTTTGAAACGACTCTTTTCCTTCCTCCGTGAAAATCGAAGTATTTCTGGTGTTATCATTTAGGAGACATTTCTGTGCTTTCTGCCTAAATAGTGCCATTTTGAGGTCACCCTTCCTCTAGGTCTATAAAAAAAGGTGTTATTCGACGTATGATTGAGGAATTAACACTAAATTTACTCCTAAATAAGCCATTTTGGGGGAAAACGCTATTTTGGAAAATCCAAAATAGTTTGGAAAGCGTTAAGTTCTCTAATTTTCTGTTGAGAAGATTAATTTTGTTTAGGTCTTAAGTTCACTTGGTATTGGTGGTGACGGGAGGTCTAAAGGCAGGATCCCTTGTTGAAAAGTGCGAGAGGGTAAGGAGTTTGATCCTTCAGTGACCTTTCATTAATGATGGAAGGGGGCCAAGCCGGTGCAAATGAGGGGAGGGTCATTCCATGTTATGCAACCAAACATGGAGGGCACCAAAAATTTTAGTTAAGTGCGTCATGATTTTCAATGTAATTAAGCTTAAGAGAGTGTTCAAGTAATAATTACCAAAACTGCGTTTATTTGTAACATACACGTACAGCTGTCGCATTTGCACTCAACTTATTTCAATAGAGTGCTTATTCTGACACATTTTTGCGAATTTTTCGAACGCACGAAAAAGTGTATTAAATTTCGCTATTATTATGATTTATTTGTAAGAAGAAGGCCAGATCCTCGATCCTCGATCCTGATTTTCCAGGTAACCGGACGAAAAGACTTCTGGACTTAAAGAACGTAATTCAAAATGTAAACGTCTCATTAACTTGGAACAAACGAAAACCATTTTAAAATAACCCCAGGTAAATCAAGTCATACCAACTGACCCCCGTTAATCATCCACAGCCAGATATAAAAAACTCCACAAGATCACTTTCTCCAAGCGTGGAAAAAAAGTTGTATTCGTCCAGTGTTCTATAAATTAGTCTGGAAGCAGTCAAACAGTTTCCCCGCTTACTTGTATAGCATCACGTCAACTATTCAAAGTTGGAAAGATACGATCCGAAAGAAACACACAAAGATGGTTGTTTACCATAATATCGACCGCAAACAAACCTCAAACATCAGACAGAATTGTCATTGACCACAAAAGGAAAAAATCAGCCGGCATCTTTCGTACAAAAATCGTTGTTCAATAAAAAGAATTCTCTTGGCATTGCATATCAATCTAAAGAAAATAAAAAAAATAACTCGACACTTACAAGGGACCACTAAACTTAACTATTCTCGCCGACAGAGTTAAACGACATGTACTGAAACTCAGGCCAAGAAACTGCCTAGACGACAGACAAAATCGTCAATATTTTAATTCAATCAAGCATTCATCTTAAGGTAGAACCGAACAAACCAATTCCACAACATAATT